ATAGCATGGTTATGCTTGTCCCAAATCGCATTGTTATGCGTCCTACTCGGCCTGCATTGTCACGCATGCCCTCCTTGTATTGTCATACTCCTTTCCGCATTGACATGCGTCGCACTTAGGTTGCATTGTTTTGCATCCATTCCGCATTGTTATGCGTCATCCTTAGGTTGCATTGTCTTGCATCCTCGTACCTACGTTGTCTCGCACGTTACTTGCATTATTATGCACACTTCACTTGCGTTGTTACGCACTTTTCACTTGCATTGCTATGCATGTTTCTAACAATATTGTACTTGTTAAGTTTTCTTTCTTTTTCAGGCACGATATTGTATTTACGGTTCATTTGAAGCCGGCGCGACCAGACGAATCTCACAGGCACAATATTGTATGTACAGTTCATTTGAAGCTGGCACGACCAGACGAACCACACAGGTATTGTATTCTCCGCGTGAGACGTAGCGAGAATTGAATAACTCTCTTACATTCTTTCTGCATGTAATGTAGTTAGATTTGTATCCGCCTGCTTAAACTGTTGCATTTATTGTATGCATTTGCTTCGTTACAGCTCTCTTTGCATGATCATAAGTTACGTTCCGCATCATGCATGTTCTTTGCATCTTGCCCCTACCTACGAGCACATACCTTGCTAGCTTGTATGCTTTGTCTAAGTCTTCGGCCTTATCAAAAATAGGTCGTCTCTTGGCTTTGACATTCACTCCCGTCATTGTTATGACTTTCGAGTTCTGTCAAAGAGGGGCAACTGTAGACACCCCATTTTTGACCATCCTCATGACTTGGACGTCATCGTTTGAACACTCGATAATCATCCATGTTTGTGTTTGTCTTGAGTTCTCGGAGGTTTCGGTCGCGCGCCTTGCGGACTTGTTTGTTTTGTGCTTGGTTGTGTACCAAACACTTGTGTTTTTGCTTCTGAGGGTAGGGAATGGCTTGTTGGCCATCCCCACACCTCACCGGCCTTGGCTTGAGGCCACCGGCCCTGTTTTTTTGCTACCAGCCAAATATTTTGGTCAGTCGGCAATGTTTTTGGTCGGCCGGCCATTTTTGTTGATCAATCGGCCATATTTTCCAGCCGACCCCTTTCCATCTGCTTTTGACAGATATTTTATGCCAGCTGTCATAGCTGGCATCCACAATACACCCCCTCCATACATGTTTTAGCTTCTCTAAGAAGCTTAGGAATTGAATTCCTATAAAAGGAGGGCCTTCCCTCCCTTTTCAGAGGTTGAACAACTCTGAGATATAACTTATATATCTATATCTCTCTATATCTCCCTCTCTCTATATAGTTGTGTGTGCAATAGTGTTCTAAATGGGTTTTTGTTCTTAGTTTTGCACTAAGACACCTAGTGTTACACTATACTTTGGTTGCTGAGGTTTTAAAGGTTTGATTTCAAAGTTTTGAGTTGGTTTTCGATCAAAAAGAGGTGCTGGAGTTGGTGTTCTTGAAGTGTTCTTCAAGGGTGAGAACTTACCTTTTTATTCTCCATTTTTGCTTAAGGTTTTAGACCTATTTGCATATTGTTTTGAGCTTAGTGTATAACTGATAAAAGTTCTATATTTTCATACTTAAGATGTTTCATTAAAGTCACTTTTGTGTTGGGGGTCGTCCACACCCTCTTAGGCCTTGTTTGGTCTCTTTTTGTGCCTTCCTCTTTGGGCTTTGTAACCCTTTTGTTTTGGCCTTCTCACCACTGAAATCCAGAGGGTTTTCAGTGGTAGAGAAGTGGTTTTGAGGTCTTGTATAGGGGAGGGACACCCCTCTCCCTTTGTGACTCATTTGCTTGCATTTAGGGCTCATAAAGGTAGCATGTTTGCATAGCTTTATTTGGCTCCATTTCAGAGGGTATTTGGTGTTAATTTATCATGTTAGACCTCTGTTTCATGTTGGTTCGATGGCCTATTGTATGCATCATGCACTTGCTTTGTAATCCCCTCTATTGTCATAACATGTACCATGCATTTAGACCATCATGCTTGCATGTTTTAGCTTGAATTCATGAAGCTTTTAGCCATGTTGTGACATGATTAAACTCTGTTTGGTGTTGATTCAGTCATATTCGCCTTGTTTGGTAGAGCCACCATGTATCCTAGCTTGTTAGCTTTAAGTGTATGAGTCATGAGCATGCTTTATTTGGATTATTTCAGTGATTTGGAATCACTTATCATGCCATTTCAGTCCATGCTCCATGCTTGTATGCTTGCATTTATCATCCTTTCAATGCCTTGAAGAGTTGTTCTTTTATGCCTTAAAATAGGTCATTGTTCATGCCTCTTTGTTTAAGTCCTTGGGCTGCCATATCAGTGGGTTTTAGGGCTCCTTTTGACATATTATAACTTTGATTTTCCTTGATTAAGACATGCCATGCTTGGTTGCAATGGGTGTAGTGCAATTCCCTCTTTTGGCCTTGTGTGCGCTTTGTTTTGTACTCGCCTTTCTTAGCATGTTTAGGCCTTGTTCCATGCATGTTTTAGCCTTATTTTGGTCTGCCCTGGGACTGTTTTAAGTCATCTTGGCTCTTTGGGGCTTGGCTGATATGGCCATGGTTTGAATCCCTTTGTTAGTCTTGAGTTTTGGACTTTGTTGCATGCCTTACTTGCATGGCTCGTTTGATTTGGCATCATCCTTTACACATTTTCAGAGCTTGTCATGCTTGTGATTTATCCATATTTGTCTCTTCTTAATGTGCTTAAGAGTCGACTATTTTCATGCCTAAGTGTTGGACCTTCACATGTGCACGTTTGGGTGTGTTTTGTCCATCATTTCTTGGCACTTTGGCCACTATTTTGGACATGGCTGAGGCCTATCCATCCTTAGTGTAAGTCCATGGATCATGCATTTATGTATTGTGGTAGGCTTACCGCATTGCATGCTGTCGCATCCTTGTGGTTGGTATCGTTGTTGCATGCCTATGACTTTGTGTATTCCCATATCTAGGTTGCATTGTAGTATTGCATACTTGTTGCATTGCCATGATGTTTGCATGTTAGGTTGCATCACATTGTATTTGACATACTCATGTTACATTGCCTTACATTCCCATGTTGCATTGCATTGGTTACACGTTTTGCATTGTATATGGCATACATACATTGCATTATGTTTGGTTTGGGGTGTCAAACCAAACATGAGGAATGAGGGACGTTCGTACTTGGAGTGACAAAACGTACCTCAATTCTCGGTCGTCGACACTCTTGATTCAACATGGTAGAGTGTGTAGCATTCATATGTTTTGTTGCATTCATTCATATTGATTTGCAAACTTGACATCTTTGGCCACCATGCATCGAAATGTGTGATTGGTGGCCCGAGGGTCGAGAGCCATACTCCCTTGAGTTCATAGCATGATAGGGAGGGTGGTCGTGCATACATTTGGCTTGCAAATTTCATGCCATGCACTGTCTATCCTCTGTTGCAGCAAAACCAGTGTTCTGCAGGAAAAAATGGCCGGTCGGCAACTTTCAATACCGGTCGACTATCAATATCCAGCCGATGGTCCCATTTTTGGTCGATGACCATATTTCCATGGCCGGTGGTGTTTTCTCTTGGCCGGTGACATCCCAAAGTGCTCAAGAAGTGGTTCAGAAGTAACCTTAGGATTTTCACAATTATCAGAGGTGCAGAACAGTGCAAACAGAGGCAACAGAGGCATGGCAACGGGTTTCCGAGTAAAGCGAATCGAGCATGCATCATCCAATCATTTCGAGGCGAAGCTTCGGCGGCCTTTTGAGTTTCATACTTAGTTTATTTTGTATTTAATTTTTTAATTAATTAAGGGTCTGTAATAATTAATTAGCTAGAGTAGTTAATTATTTATTTGGTTTGTATTATTCTTTCGGACCCTCCGTCGAGAGGGAGAATTTGTAATAAGTGTGCGTGCGTGTGTGAATGTCTTCCAACCCCACGTCTTTCTCCCTTTTATTTACTAGATTTTGATGGTTAGTTTAGGGCATGTTTTAATTAGCATACTTATGCTCGCATGTTTGCATCATTCATCTGTATTGCATGCACCGAACTCGGTGCATCATGCTAACTGCATAGTATTTCAATTCCAACTTGAATATGTGTATCCAGTTGTCACATTCCACATACCATTCTTAGCTTGGCCGAGCCTATTCTAGTTGCATTTTACATGTGTTACATTAGCCATCTTAACATAGCTAGGATCATGCATTGATTACTAGCATGTTCCTTGTTTGGCTCAGAGTACACTGTGAGTGTTTATGCTTTAGCATCTTGCATGTATGTGAGTGTTAACATGACAGCATGCTTGCCATGAGACTATGTGCTTATGTGATATAACTGCCTGAATGCCTGTGGGTGAAGGTTGGGTTGCTTGAATTGGAATAATTCGTCAAAATCCGTGTTTTAGCCTACTTATGAGTAGCAAACTTCAATCCATTTTCAAAACAAACAGATATACGATGCTTCGTTCCAAATTAGGCAATCTAGTCTATACTTGTATGCTGTGCACATCACATAGTAATTCTAGGTTAATAACCGGAATAAGAACGCATAATGTTTTCAAAACTCAATATCATGGTTAGTAGAGGCCGATCTTTGATCGGGCGAGCGGGGGTGCTCACGAAGTGACCTTCCCCAATCGTACCCAAGTTCCCGAGCCAAGGCAACTTTGGTGATGACGGACACGTGGCCTTAGGCACGAGTCAAGGTTTCCTAAATTCCCCCAAAAAAATAAAATATTTAGGTGGCGACTCTATATATGGCAAAGCAGGCCATGTTTGGCACTTCTTTCTAAAAATCAGTTTTTCAAAACGATTTGCCGGATTTGGACTCTTTGATGATTCATCGGTCTTGCATTGCACTCTGCAAGATTAGATACAAGACCATGACATTGAGTCCGAACTGTAGTAAGCCCAAATGAACAAAACGGGATTTCCTCCCGGGACGTTCGGGGACGTCTACACAATGGAAAAAATTTTTTATTTTTATTTTATCTTATTGTTATTGGTGGACCTAGGGCTTTAGGTGGAGGGATCATAGAGGTTAGTGCTTGGGTGCCAGACCAAGGTCTGCCACAATGGAGCTTGCGGGCCAGCAAGCATTCAGGAAGTTTTGTTTATAATTTTGCTGTGATGGGTTGCTGTTGCTAAGGTGTTTGATTTTGGTGACACCGTATTTATACGGGGTTCCTTCCTCAATGGGATTTACAACTTCTTTTTGAAGGAGATGGGATTCTGGTTAGTGGCTAATCTCTGCCTTTTTTTTGGGGGGGGTAATTAATCTCTGCCTTCCCTTTGGGGAAAAATTCATATTTTACTCGAGATTCATAAATATTACTTGAAGGAGGTCTCAAGGTTTATCTGTGTTTTAATTCTTTTTGTGTCCTATTGGTTTGCATCTTCAACTTTTTTTAGTTTCCACGATAGGTTTTGTTTTCCAAAGGTTGGCATCACTAAGGACAAAGCATAGACTAATAATTGAAGAACCAGTACACTTTTTGGGCTTTTATGAATAATTACAAAAAGCTTTATGGGAACACCAGAAACCATTTTATCAGTGGCACTTTTTGCAGCATTTATCCATGTATCACATCAGCTGGCATGCATCATTTGTCTATATGCTTTCTCATCCACTTCTTGTTTGTTAATTACATAACATGATTTTATTCTACAATTATATGTTGCAGATTATGTACTAGAGGGAAGTGAAGGAACTCCTTTTGCAGGTTTGATATGAAGTGTTATGCATTTGTGGCACACGACATTTATTTCATCGCTGGTTTTGTTTGCTATTGTTCTTGGAACATGGAATTTTTTATTTTATTTTATTCATGAATGTTTCCCACTTATTATGGTAAGGTGGATATTATTATGGGAAAATCAAGTTTCCTCCAGATTATCCATTTAAACCTCCAGGAATCAGGTATTGTGGATTTTGTCTCCTTAAATTTTTTCACAAAAAAATATTTTGATGCTTTTTTAGCAGCTTCATGTTTATTTTTATTTTTAACATTTTCACTAGGTTTCTTTAACTGAAAATTATTTTTTCATCCATTGTAGTATGACTACTCCAAACAGATGATTTATGACTTAAAAGAAAATCTGTCTGTCTATGAGTGATTGTAAGTGCCGTTAAATATCATTGGTCTAGGAATCATCTGTTCTTTCTAATAAACTGATTTTATTTTCAACTCATTTCTATCATTTTTCAGTTCATCCAGAAAGTTGGAATCCGATGTGGTCTGTATCAAGGTAATACATTGTCATTGATGAAAAAACAGATGTCATTGTTTGCAACCATTTAATCTAGCGTCTGATGCTGACTAGAGTTTGTGTGTCTTAAATGCAGCATACTTACTAGCCTTCTCTATTTCATGGTGAGATTCTGAACTTAGTATTATATGGCTATTGTCTCCTAACTATACAGGATAGATACACGACTAGATGAAATGTGCCTGAAATTTTCTTTATGGACATCTCAATCCCATTTATTTACATACCAAACAGTCCTTATTCATTTGACTTTTGAGTCTTTGAGTCTGAGTTCTTGCCAATGACTGTATCAGAGGAATGTATTCTGCATTCATGACATTATATAATACTCAATTTTTAACAAAGTATTTGGTTGTGCATTGGTGTAACTGGTTGATTCACTTATTTCGATGAATGGAGGTTTTCTGCACCTTCTCTGCTTCCTCCCTCATATTCCATCTTAGGGTTGTGAATTTGAAAGGAAAAAAGTATTGTTAGTTTGGTAATGGGTCTTCTGATCATCTTCTTGCAGCGGTCTCCACTTTTTTTTAAATTTACTGAATGTTTGTAGACTTTAGGTTGCTAGGCACAACCTAGTGGGTTGGCCCCTAAATGGCTCGTAGCACTAATATCTGAATGTGCCAAAATAATATAAATGGGAATCATTTGCACCATAGCTTGTGCCAAGCATATTTTCCAGATTTATTGCTAGGATCGACTAAATTGAACATGCATCTAACCAGGAAATGGGAGAACAAAAATAGTGGGGCATTGTTGCATTGATAACTTCAAAGCATTCTATGTTTGCTTCCAAGCATTTCTTTCTTGAGTGTGCTTTTCTTTCTTTTTCCCTCTTGTTATATTTTATTATTATTGTTATTATTATATCTCGTTGTCTATATGCTTTGTTCTTTCTTTATGGTCCTACTCATTAATTTTTGCTTGGATCATCAAGTATGAACCAGTTGAAATCAATAATGAGAAACATGATGACAAACCGGAGGGTGCAACAGATTTCAGTAATAAATTAATATTTATTTTGCTAGTTTGAAGAATTTATCTCTGATATATGCCCCATTTTGAAAGGGCAAAAATTTGATTGTATTGTTTTCTTGAATTGATATCTACTGAGGCATGTATGTTCTCTCTAGATGGAGAAATTTTAGCTGGAAGGAAACTTCCTCCATAATGCCATCCTGAACTTCATGGTGATATAGCCTTCCATTCCCTTTATATGTTGCAAATTGATGAGAATTTATTTTATTAGTTTGCTAAATACATTATTAGGCTTTTCTAATTATATAGTTGCATTTTTTAGAGCATCCGCATCAAGCTAGATAAATTTTAGTCAAATTTTGGCTAAAAAAGCTACTTTTCTTATTTTAGCTAGCTATGTTTTTGAATGTCTTCTGCATCAAACTCTATATTTAAAATATATATATTTTATTTAAATAACATTTATTTATTTTTTTATTCCTATATTGTCAATTATTGTATTTTTTAAATCATCAATTTTGGGACAATCATATTTTATAATGGTAATATTTTAACAGTCACATTTTTTATACATTCACTCTTCCTAGATTAAGAAATCGCATTTTCATAACTGTTTTGTTAACTTTAATTTCAAGAATTAATCTATGAGATGTGCAAAAACTAAAATAATTGAAGTTTATATTGGGATAAAAACTATAAGTAATAAACAAAAGAATAATCCTATGTTTATTATCTATTTTGATTATTTAATTTTACTATTTGATGTGACATACTTTATTATCATTAATACAATAAATCTCACGTATAATAAATCTCACATGCATATAATTGGCATCTAAGAATTATCGGGTGTATAACATCATATGGTAAAACAAATAATAATTATAGTATTTTAAAAAAATAAAAACAAAACAGTGGGAGATAGCTGAACACTGTTCATATATTTTATTTTTTAAAATTCAGTGTTGAGCCTTCATAGGCTGGCTACATGTGGCGAGGAAGTGCAGCCTGTGCTAAAATGGCACAAGCACTAGCGAGCTTGATGCAGAAGGAAATTGATGGCTTTACTCCACAATTAACAGAAAAAATGCTTTGGCGAGGTTGATATTGATGCTTAGTGCCTCTAAGAAGGCTGGAATTGATCTTCACAAGTAATTAATGTGCCTCTAATATATACTTCATTTTATTATTTATTGTTTCTACATAATTAATGTGTTCTTGCATTAAAAACATTTTTTTTTAACTTTTAACAAGTTTAGGCGGTGCTCTCCATACTCGAACTGTCCGTAATCTCTCTTATGAGTTTATATTTATTTGATGAACGTGAAGTTTTTGAATGTGGGTGCTTGCAGGTGGTGGTGAGAGTTTTGAACTTGGATTGTGATTGTTGTGCTAACTTTTTGCTGACTTTATTATTAGCAATGATTATAATTTTAACTTTTTATTTTATTTTATTTTATTTTTGGGTTAGTTTCTCTATTTTTTATGACTGATTCCAGTGTTTTTTTTGTAGGAGCATTGGCCAGCTTGTTCCTTGAAATAAGCATTGGCCCATGAATGAGTTATCCAATATTTTGATGGTTTTATTAACATTTTTTTGGATATGGTTTGTGGTTAAATATAAATAGGTAGGAAATGTTACAATTTTTTTATTATGTTGTTCAAATGTAAAATTGTAGCAACCTGGAAGAGGAATTAAATTTGTTTGGTTTATTTTTGGTTTATTTTCATTTATGTGCTTCTGTATAGAATCCTTGCCTTTAGAAGTTGACCTTATTTAGCTAATAATGCAATTTGACAATTGAATACTTGTTTGCAGATTTTTTTTTTTTTTTTTTTTTGAGAAGCATTATTTTGCAGAATAGTGCAATGAAATTTATTTATATTTTTTTCTTTTATAAATAGCAGTGCAAAATTATTATTTTTTGTAAAAAAAAGGAGAAAAAAATGGCGTTTTTGAAAAAAACGTCACTAAGTGTCGTCATATGACGTCAGCATTTAATTGTGACGGCTTTTAGATAACGGATGTGTGAGAATTTATGGCGTTTTAAAAAAATGCCGGCTAAAGTCATTAGCGACGTTTAATAAACGTCATATACCTAAGACGGCGGCCGTACCTGCGACGAAAGTTATAAATGTCACTTTAGCCTTTAACGGCGTTTTTAAGGTTTATAGTGGCGTTTTTTAAACGTCGCGAATTCTGAAAATTCCTGCAGTGAAGCCACGTGTATTGATGTTGGTTGAACCTTTGGTATTGATGTTAGTTGAACTTTTCGCAAAGCTGTGCTCAGCATTGACACTTACATTTTCATTTTTGATGGATTAGTGAATTAAAATCACTTAGGCTGTACTCAACTAATTTATTTAAAATAAATGGCTTTATCTTCATAAGCATTATATAATTTATATATTTCACAAATTTGTTAAATATTTTAAGTTTGTAATTTTTTTTGATAATCATTAGGTATTCTCAAAATACATATCATATTAGTTATATGGTGTTCAAACTAATAGCGCCGAGAAAAATCTTACTAGTAAGATATGGTGACTCATTTTATTAGCTAGTTGTAAGTCAAGAGATAATCCATTTAATGTGAGTTGTGATTTCTCCTTAATTATATTCTATTTTATTCGAATTAACATATTAATCTAATTTTAGATTTGAAGAAAATGCGAGTAAAATTTTCTTTTTGTATTAATTTTGCTTTTAATTTTTTAGAATATGAAACACACTATAAAAATATAGTGTTTGTGATACACTTTCAGTTAATTTAATTGAAAAAAATGAAATATGAAGTCACATGAAAACTTTCTGATTATATTTAAATAAAGTACCTTAATATCAAACCACAATAGAATAAAATAAATTTAACCTTACTTTAAATAAATGGGTTGAGTACCTATAATAAGCCTCTAAGTGATTTTAATCAAGCCACTCATCAAAACAGAAAACAGAAGCATCAATGTTGTTTACAACCATGCGAAAGGGTTCAACCAACTTCAAAACAGAACCATCAATTTGTGCACAACCAGCGAAAAGGTTCAACCAACATCAATACGATGTGATTTTCACACAAAACCCAACCCCAGGAAAATCAACAGGCCGCAAATAGTACAACTAAGTTTAAGATCCATCTTTGCAAGATAATCCGCGGCCATAATAGAGTGAGAAAACAATACCTTTATCAAACTTGGTTAGAAACTTTCAAATACGGTTCAAACCGCAATTAACCCTTGGATTATATAAGATTATTGTTGTTTGTTTGATTTTTTTACCACACTAAGTGATCAATACATATCAGTACATAATAAGTAGTGAATCAGACTCAATCCATATTGATTTAATGCCAAGATTTTAAGTTTGAAAATTTTAAAAATAATTTGTGGTTTTCACCAATATCTCAAATGCATGAAAGGAAAAAAAAGAATGAAATCAATTTCAATTGCTAAATTTGAACTAACAATTATGTGAAGAAAGTTTCCTTTTCATGTATATATGAAACCATATTATAGTTGATAATGATAAAGCTTACAAGTAATAGGAAGCACACAAAAATTGTGATCTATTAAAAAATACAATAATACTCATGACAAAAGATCGGAATAAAATGAACATGATCAGTCAATAAAATCTAACTTCATGTAATTATAATGGAAATTAGGTGGCTACAAAAAACATTTTCCCCCTTTTTGTTGAAAATAAAAAATTTTTAAAATCAATATTCAGTGCGTTTGGTTTTAATTTCTGCTTTTAAGTTTCTAAAAATTGAGTTTTTTGTTTTAGTAAATATTTTTAAAATTTTAAGTAATTTTTTTTTTACTTTTTTATATGCACCTTACTTAGATGTATCAAAAAGTAAAATATTTTAAAAAATCAATAAATACACAAGAATAAGAAAACTATACTGAATTCTCATATTTATTTATTATTTATTTATTTATTTATTTTATTTTTATATTTTTGGTTTGTAGGAAATTTTCTAAAGATTTTTTTTTTCATAAATATTGTACTTTTTAATTATATTTATGTTAGATGTATCTAAAAATTAAAAAATTACTTCAAATATTAAAAAAATTCAGTAAAAATAAAAAAAATAAAAATTTTCAATTTTTAAAAAATTGAATCTTGTAAATCCAAATTAAACAAATATTTATCAACATTTTTTTCTTGCATACAAACCAATGAGAAAGAATTTGTATGTAGAACCTATACCTACCTATATGACCTATAGGCTATATGATTACTGCACATATTCTCTCACCGAAAATGATCCGTAACTCGAATGCGTAGAGCTCGAATGGCCGAATGATACAAAAAATATTATATTACCAA